CGCGGTAATCGAATACGGTTATAGTGATAATTAAAATATGAAACGGTAATACTAACCGTGGGGTGTTTTATCACGATTTATCTCAAACCGGTAATCGTTACATCCCTAAATTAGACCATATATATTTAGAAATAGTTAAAGGTGCCTTCCTTAGATCCAGATTGAGATTGGATTGAGGAAGGAGAGAAAAATACGAGCTTCTTGAGAAAAGGAATTTTAAAAGGAAAAGCATCTCTGCATTACAAATTAACAATTCAGTTTCTAAACACCCTGAAGAAATTGAGAAATTTGTTACTAATTTTTATAGGAACCTGTACTCCTCTGATTTTCAGGCAAACCAAAGTAAGTCATACCTGCAACAGATTAAGAACTATATACCTCAAATAAGTGATGAATTTAAGTTATCATGTGAGGCTCCTGTTTCCTTAAATGAAATTAGTGATGCAATGAAATCAATGAAAAAGGGGAAGTCGCCTGGCTCCGATGGCCTTACTTTAGAATTCTTCATACAGTTTTGGGAGTTTTTGGAACAACCTTTTTTCTTAATGCTTCAAGAATGTATAAAAAATGGAACAATGACTCCTACTATGAAACAAAGGGTGATATCTCTCATTCCCAAACCAGACAAAGATGTAACTGTAATTGATAATTGGCGCCCTATCACTCTTCTTAATTTTGATTATAAATTAATCGCTTCCATATTCGCCAAGAGATTAAAACAACATTTACATCATATCATTAATGAAACACAGACCGGATTTGCTTGGGTCAGATTCTGTGGTATTTCATTCCTAATAATATATTTATTAGGGTAGGTGGCTTTTCTTTTTTGATGAAATGCAATTACTCCACTGGTAAATTACCTATTAAACTGGCTAGATTTTATCAACAAGCTTTGTTAGCCTGGAAACTGGTTTACAACCACAACTTTCCCCCCCACAAAACCATCTTATGGAACAATTTGGATATTCAAATTAGAAATAGATCAGTCTTTTTTGATAAATGGTTTAATAAAAACATCATTTTTGTTGCCGATCTATTCAACTCTATAATGGCGATTTGTTATCTTATGAATGTTTTATGAATATCCATCAATGTCCCGTTCCATTTAAAGAATTTAACTCTGTTATAAAGGCGATTCCTGATGGATTAATATGTCTGATGAAAGCTTCCCTCACCCATGAGTCATGCTCAAAACAACTTTCACAGTTATGTTTGGGAGGTGTTTCGCTTTTAAGTAAAGAATGTAATAATACATTTATTCGTCAACTTTCTCAATCTCGAAACTCAATTTCTCCAAAAGGGACATTTTTTGGGGGGTTCTAAAATAGATAACATTCAATGGAGGAAAACATGGTTATTACCATATAAATACTGTATACCCAATAAAGTGAAAGAAGTGCATTTGAACATTTTGCATAATATATACCCTTGTAATGCTTTTGTGTCTAAATTTTGTGATGTAGCTGATGTATGCACCTTCTGTAAAAAAGAAAGTGAATATATTTGTCATTTATTTTTCTCTTGTAATGTTTCATCACTTTTCTGGAAAGATTTGAGTTCCTATTGTTTTTCTAAAGTTAATATGAACTGTAATTTACACATTAAGGATGTTGTTTGCTTTTTTGAAAACCAAAACAAATCTTTAGAATCTGTTAACTTTCAAACAAACAAAGGTTTCTTAAGAAAATACCTACTTTTATCGATTTCTTATGTGAAGTAGAACATTGAATTAAATCACTAAGAGTAATAAATAACAAAAAAATGTATTTATTTTTTGAAGAGATATGATGAGATCTTTCATGTACCGTGATTAATACTTGTTTTGGTGTTTTTTTTTGTTTTTTTGTTTTTTTTATTCCTCTTTTCTTTATTTGTTCTGTTCCTGCCTTTCTTTATGTTCATAAAAAAGCTATTTAAATGCATCTTTCTCTTTTAACAGTCATTGTCAACTTTTTTTTCTTCTCTTCTCTTCCATATGTTCAGATGGCATTGGATGTATTGTTGATACATTATGTGTAGTGTATGCAAAGTTGTATTTCATCTCTGACTAGTTTGCAATAAAAAAAAGGAAAAACTTTCAAGGCAAATAAAACAATTGACACTGTTTTGAGTGACACTTACTTAAAATATTCAAGTAGCCACAAAGGAACCAATGACATTAATAAAGCAGTGAGAGGCAGCAGTGCACTAATATGTTGCTAATGTGCAACATAACAACAGAAGAAGAAGAAAAGAAAAAGAGTCTTAATAGACTTTTTATCCATTTCCTCCATGTCTGCAGTTATCTTTCACTAGTTGCTTTCACTCGTTTCCCAAAGTCATCTTGAATGTTGAATTCTCAATACAACTGAAATATTTGAGAGAACATCACATAAGCTAACTTCATAAATTGATGTTGATTTTCCTAAAATGTGTTTTTTTTTTAAACTCACCATTATAGTGATTAGCGTTCCCTTTGGTTGGGCACTTGGAAATTTATTTATGTTACTATAATTTTTCGTCCTGTTTTTTACTCACCACTCATCACTTTTTTTTACTTTGGTTGGGCAACTTGGAACTTCATTTATGTTACTATAATTTTTTTCCTGTTAATGCAGCAATGCATCATGAAGTCAGAGTTATTTGATTTCAAAAGAAGAAAAACTCTTAAGTAGGTTCTAGAAGATAATCTATCTTAGAATTAAATAATTAGTGAAGTTTTGTTTTCTGTTGATTAATAAGTTCAATCAGATTGAAGTTTTCATAAATATCTTGAGATGCTTTTAATTGGACTTATATAATTCTTAAATAGTGTGTGGTAATATGCTGAAGTCATACACAGACTTCAACATTCAGCACGTGAATCACAACAATGGTAACAATTCAATTTCATTTATTCTCATTAATTGTAACAATAACCATTTTATTTGCTCTTTTTGTTGTACTACTACTGACACAAGACAGCAAATAACATTGGCAAATAAAATCAACAACTGTAAAACAAAGCAACTGCATAATTTATTCTGCCGCAATGCACTCTGGGAGTCAGTGAGTAGCTATACTAAGTCATGAGTAAACCTAAACGAAAGGATCAAGTACCCCCTACAGTTCTTCTTTAGTTACTAGAACTCTTGTGTGAGTAAACTATACTAACTAAGCATTTGTCAGTACAACATACTATTCCTATTTCACTTTACTTAGTTTTTTCAAGGCAATCGGTTTGCATGCTTTTTTTTAAGTAAGCCCAACTCATTAGATTTTACAGTGTAGGCTGGAATACACTACATGATTTCTGAACAGATTTTAAAACACTAGGCCTCATTATTTTGCCGACTTTGTAAATAGATACAGAAACTGGACATCATACACTAAACAACTGAATATTATACACCACCAGTTTTTCAAGTCATTCCGATCACAACAAAACTCGTACAGAAACACATGCCTTGTTGCTACAATGTGTTGGATCATGAATGAAGAGACAGGGAGTCCAGGGTGGAGATATAGAGTCTTTTATTAATGTCGCTAACATCAAGTGTCAGAAGAGAAATGGCAAAGAACACAGAAATCACAACTACATATACAGTATCTCTCTTGAGGGACAAACTTAACTCTGTTAATAGTGTCTTTCACGGGGTGGGAGAGTCCACAACAGACTTGAGTTTGGGGTTTGTGCACGGTAGAATATCTGGTGGAGTGGCCATTATGTGGCATATGAAATATGATCCTGTAATCACAGTGATTAGATTGAATGTCGATTGGTGTATAGGAATAAAAGCAGCCATCGACAATAATTTTTTTATTATTTTAAATGTTTATATACCCTATGAATGTCCTGGTAATGAGGATGAATTTATTCAAAGGCTTGCTTTTATATGCTCTTTTATTGAAGAGAGTGAATGCACTTGTATTTATGTAATGGGAGATTTTAATGCAGATGTTTCTGATGTGAAATCTTTGTTTGGCCAGTACTTGGTTAGGTTTTGTCAGGATAATAGTTTAATTCTGTCAAGTTTGGATCTGTTGCCGACTGACAGCTACACATATGTCAGTGAGGCCTGGAATACAACTTCATGGCTGGATCACTGCATATGCACTGTTGATGCTCATGATAGTGAATGTTGAAATCTTGTATGGAACAGCTGCAACAGATCACATGCCTATTTCTGGGATGCTAAATATAGAAAAATTACCTGAAATAACCAAAAAGGGTAATTATACCTATGAGGGGGTAATTATACCCATGATGGGAGAGTTGAGTGGGCTAAGCTCACAGATTATGATATGCAGCATTATTATAACTTGACTGATGAGTCTCTGGGGAATATTCAAATTCCATATGATGTATTTTTGTGTGATAATATTAATTGTGACAACTCAAACCATAATGATGATTTGCGTAACATGTATGATGAAATCGTGATGGTACTAAACAATGCAAGCAAATAATTTTGTAACAAAAGATCTAAACGATATAATATTAGACCAGGATGGAATGAGCATGTGAGTAAACTCCATCAGCAAGCAAGGGAAGCCTTTAAAAACTGGGTTGCTGGTGGAAAACCAAGGAATGGTCATACTTGTGATGTAAAGAAACAAGCTGTCACACAGTTTAAATATGCTGTTCGCTTCATAAAAAGGAGCGAACATACTCTCAGAGCTAATTCTTTTGCTAAGAAAGTATTACAAAATGAAGAATGGAAAGAAGTTAAAGTTATGAATGCTAATAAAATTCCTCTGCCCTCTAGTGTTGAAGGGGTTACTGGATATGAAAATATTGCAGATCTTTGGAGAAAGCATTATAGTGACCTATTCAATTGTGTTCAAAGTGACGATTTCATTATTGGGAATGTGTCGTTTAATAATGAGGTTATCAAGGCTGAGGAAGTAGCTTCTGCTATAGGAAAATTAGTTCTGAATAAATCTTGTGGCCTAGATCAGATCACAGCAGAGCATTTGAAATTTGCTAGTCACAGACTTGTTGTTTTATTGGCCTTGTGTTTTACTGGAATGTTGATTCATGGCACATTGCCCAGTTCTATGCTTTCTGTTTTGCTGGTACCTGTAATTAAAGACAAAACAGGGAAAATATCTAGTACAGAAAACTATAGGCCTATTGCCTTAGCCAGCGTGATGTCTAAGGTATTAGAGATAATATTACTGGATCAATTTCAGCAATATGTTATTACCAACGATGAGCAGTTTGGTTTTAAAAGTAAGCATGGGACTGATATGTGTATCTATGCACTGAAAGAGGCTGTGAGTAAGTACAGAAGGCAGAACTCCACTATGTGTCTGTGCTTTTTAGATGCCTCTAAAGCCTTTGACCGCATTAATCATGGAAAGCTATTTGTAAAATTACAGCAGCGAGGGGTTCCCCCGACAGTATTGTAAATTGTATGCACAAGCTAACATGCTTGTTCGTAAATTTAGCATGTGTACTGATGATGTCAAAATAGCTTTGTTTAAAGCCTATTGCACTCCACTGTATACTGCCCACTTGTGGTGCAGTTACAGTAAAGCTAAATTCAACAAGTTGCAGGTTGCATACAATGATGCATTACGACTTTTATTAAAAGTCCCTCAGTGGACAAGTGCCAGTCAGCTTTTTGTTCAGAATCAGGTGCCCATGTTATATGCTGTGATCAGAAATTTTGTGTATAAATTTATAAAGCGACTTGAGGCCTCTAAAAATGAAATTATTGTGATCTTGGAGAAGAGCACTGTTAGGTACACCTCTGCACTTTGGAGGCACTGGAGAAAGTGTTTATATGGACATTAGATGTAAATTATTTTCTTGTTACTTGTTGTTGTTGTTATCCATGTTGTATGTTGTTTTTGTATGCTTTTTTATTTTATATGGACCTTTTTGAGTCTGAAATAAAGATATCATTCATTCTCTGTCTGCTCAAGCATTTGGCATACGTCCTAGTTCCTGGGTGCACAGTGTACTTGTTTATCAGTTCTTAACAGAAACATATAGGAGGTAGTTCAGCCTTGTGTGTAAAGCTATGATTATGTGTTACATAGTATGAGAAGAATGAAAATGAAGAATGAAAATTCGTTACTTATTGTCCCACAAATGCCAATAAAGAACCTTTATTTTTAAGAGTGTGCTTTAAGGACTATCATAATTCAACAGATAATACAGCTGCTTAAAAAAAAAGCTTTTGTACTAAACAACTGAAAAGATTTGACTTTATAAAGGTTTTCCAACCTTGTCTCTAATTCATTCACTGTTATGTTGTCAGGAGCTTTGCTGTTCCTGTTCCTCCCAATAAATCCTTTCGAGAATTGACACTCCTTATTATGGTCTAAACAGCAGTATGCAGTCCAGAAATGACTAGGCACATTCACATTCACATTTCTTTTTTCATAAATTTTACGTTTACCTGGTACCACCCCTGTTACAACGTAAGCAGTGTTCTTTTTTGACAGACATTGCATGGTAAGTTCGTCTGCAATTTTTTCTTCTAGTATCCTCCATTTACCTCTGTTAAAATGGAGGTTTTGTGGCGCAGCATTGGTGAGAGTGAAGGTGGCATCAGAACAATCCTGTGAGCTTGCCAGGTAGACTGGTGCCAGATGACCTTTGTCGAAGCCAGAGTGCTTATAATCATCACTGACAGCTTGGTTCGGTGATTGATGGGAACGGTCAGGTACCATATTTGGTTCTTCTCCTGGATTATCAAGCTGTAATATTTTTATAAGCAATAAAATGCACATTACAAAAAAAGTCTTAAGGAAATTTCATAGTATGGGAATTAAACTTGCCACCAAAATATGACTACATGAAGGAAACATCTGTGCATTTTCACAGTGTGAGACATCATTAATCTTTTAAATGAGTATTAATTATAAACAAATGATTACATTTTATGGCTAAGTACTATATGTTTGAATTCAGAAACATACCAAATGACAAAACATTCATGTGGACATAGAGTGATATTCTTACTTGAGGTTCAATGCACCATATGTGTTTTCTGTCGCATTTCATTTTCTTGTTAAACTTGTAGGCAGAGTAGACCGAAATCTTGTTGTCAGTATCATAAAGTGTGGCATAATAAACTTTGTTTTTTAAAGTTTGGCAGATTTGTCTGTACTGATGTCCGTGAAGTATTGTTGGTGGAGCTCCATTTGCAAAAATATCAGCACATTTCTCTCGAAAATCACTCACAACTTCAGCTGAACCACCAGAGAGGACTGACGCCATCATCATCACATGAAGGAACATCATGATTAAATTAATTTCTCTGCAAGAAGTTTATGAAAATATTATGAAATAGTAAATACAACAGAAAATAAATGTAATACTGTATGGCAGAAGATAAAAATTGACTTGTGCTATCCATCATTCTTTGTCATTTGTATATTAAAGAGCGTATATTGTTTTAACAGCATGAAAAATGCATCTTACCTACTGCTGAGTCTTCACAAGCTCGTTGCCACTTCGTCCCTCTCTACCATGGTTCACTCCAGGCACATCTTTCAAAAGCTAAGCTACACACTATAAAAAGTTTTCTTTGTAACTCATTTTCGTGTAGGTCATGCAGTGTTCATGATGTGTCATAACCTTCTATCCTGGAAATGAGCCAGGAGCTCGTAAAAATATTGCATTAAGTGTTTCACTTCCATATTCTGATCTATTACTTAGGTGCAAATTGAAGAGTTTGTTTCCCAATGTCCTGTGTGCAGTAATCCAAGAGAGCCAATGATATCACATCCAATACCAGGAATACCCTGGTCAAAAATTGGTCAACTGGTCAAATCTGTTCCATTTCAATGATTCAGATTGCTTACTGTCTGCTGATTATTACTCTAACTTCCCAAAAAATAAACCATCTGACACAACTGCTCAGAGTGTATTTGTGGCCATGAAATCCAAGATACCTACCTCAGTCACCTTATTGTCCCCCAAAAAAACAACATACAGATCTAAGACAACCTGAAACAAAGACAGGACAAGCAAAAGGACTACTTTGACAGACAAACGAGGCTGCTTCCAGATGTTCACATAGGAGAAAGCGTAAGAGTGCAACAAGGAGATGTCTGACAACCTGCAGTAATCATCAAAAAACATGAACAACCAAGATCCTTCATCATACAAACTCCAGATGGAAAACATACAGGAGAAACAGAAAACATCTTCTCAAGACAGCAACAGACAACACAGTCAATGACACTAATAGTGTGATGGACTCACATATCATGACACTAAATCATCTACAATGGACAAAGAGACACACAACACTGAATTTCCTGAGTCTCAGTCACACATACACATTACCAGGTCAGGTAGACAAGTGAACTAAAGGTACTTCAAGGTACTGAACAGTGGTTGACACTACAAATCTGTACTGCACTAACCTGAGTTCTGTCAGGTCACAACTAGATGGCAAATAGCCTACTTCTTCTCCACTCTTCAAACACACAAAAACATTAGCCTTTAAAGACATAGTGTTTGAGTAAAGAAAACACTGTACTATTCAAACGTCAGTTATTTATTTACCCTTGCATTGCAAAAAAGCAGAAATCTGTCTCCTCCTGTGCGTGGCGCGTTAATCTGAATGGAGATGGGGTGAAGTTTTCTGAGGATGGAAGGTTTCGCTGACAGTTTGAGGATCTAATGGCGTTACAAAGTTTTATTATTGGTTAAATATTTGTAAAAACCCTCTGATTTGAAATAATAATAACAAAATATAATAGCGATATTAAGTTTGGATAATTTTTCATGGCACACCTGACTGGGCTAGGGTATGGCAACTGCCATACTCTGCCATACGGAAACGCCCTGAACGCTGAGGCTGCCTTCTCTGAGTTCGACTGTGTGAACTGCACTGATTTGCCGGCACATATTTTGAGGACTCGGAGGAGCATTGCTTGTGGCCTTTCAAGGAGGAGGCCCACTGCCGCCAGCGAGCCTCTGGTGGGCCTAGCTGACCTGAAGGACTCCGACCGTGAGGCGCTCCTTAACGTGCCAATCACTCCCTCCAGCCTGTTCGGTGACACCGTGGAGTCTGTTATCGAGCGCTTCTCTGAGACACAAAAGCGCGATGGTTTGAGGCATTGACGATGAGTCACCTGATTCCCCAGCACACGTTCCATCCACCATTGAGATCACGCTCCTCATCTGCAACCAGCTCTGCTCAGAGAATGGCTAAGCAGCCAGTCACATCCTCTGTGGCTCCCCGACATGAGCCAGATGTTCGCCACAAGCAGTGGACAGGATCCGGGAAAAGGCATCATGGAGAGAGGAGGAGTCCCCACCGTGACAGCAGACTGCCTTCAGCTGCCAAGCCTTCGTCCTAACGGACCTGCCAAGAGGAGGAGAGAGCTCGCTGTAGGCCCAGCGCTGCATCCTGCATTATGTTCCCCTTGTTCCTGCAGGCGACAAATGCAATGTTCATGTTTCTGTTTTTTCAATAAAAACACAAACACCCTCACAAAAAGAGCTGTACCCTCCTCATCCTATCAATACAGCGTTACTCACCCTGCCTCAGAACAGCGCTGAGCCGCTGTCTGTGCCTGTTACTTCTAATACAGAAATCAAATGACATTGTGCTGTTAAAATGACTGCTTTTGTAATGTGTGCACTCAGGCAACAACAGCCTTGATGTCCCTTTCTCATCCATGATCAGATTCAGTCTAACTGCAGCAGTGATGGTCGTGATGGACAGCAGAGACAGGTGGACACGGTGGCCAGCTGCAGAACTGTCTCAGCTGTGTTGAGATGCAGTAGGATGTGGATTCACCGCCTGTAAATACATTTGTTAGAACAATATGTTTGAATAAAGCTTTGTTTCATGTGTCGATGACTTGTATTTATTTATTGTCATGGTTACTTTTATTAATTAACTGAAAATTGAGATGTATTCACCTTGGCTGCGTTTGTCTAGTGTGTATTCATGCATAGCTATGGCATATGACAAAAAAAATTACATTTTGCTTGTTTTTATATATATTAATTATTGGTCAGCATTTATCAATATTATTGTTCATAAGTGTTGGGGTGGGCTAGCAATGCATTCTGCGGTAATCTTAATTTTTAAATAGCAATACTTACATTTTTCGAGTGTAAAATTAACAGTCTTCTCCAAAGGCGAGATCTTCTAGCAGCTGATCGACGTCTCCTTTGTGCAGATATTACAAATATTGCAAACGTTGAGGAAAACCGTACTAGGTAGGGTTGTGGAGTTACTGATGCTGTGAGGTGTTAGTGCACCTGTCCATCTTATGTTCTTTTTTTTATTATTACTGCAGAGCTTATAATTACATACAAACTCAGGGGAAGATGGTTGTATCTTTAACAATGAACAATCATAATGACAAACAGCAGAAAACAAATATAATGGGGTTGCATACATCATAGTATGAGATTATATACACAGAAAAAAAGACACAATGACAAGGTTAAATCTTTGAATAATCATAATATTCATATAATCAATGCATCAAAATACTGCATTTGTTGTTGTTGTTTATAAGCCGGAGGTATGAAACAAGAGAGTTAAATTCAACAAGAAAAAGAGGAAAACAAAGGATATCTAAGCCGGTTTTGCTCGTGGATGAAAAATTTTGCACATAAAATATATCAGTGGTGGGCTGTCAGGGCCAGCAAAGCCATCTCTGCTGGCCTAAACACTATCAGAATCACTGATTTAGTTTTAATATATTTTTCCGTGAATGTGTATTAAATTATTTCCAATAGTCCATTCTCTTCAGTTCATAGCTTTTCTCTTGGTTGCACTGCTTCCAGCAGTGTATGTTTATATTAGAGCTTTTATCCAATCATATTTCAGCAATCGTGTTGCCAGGGTCAAAGAAATCTGCCTTAAGGCCTTCAGAATCAACAGTGCAGGCGTCTGTTAGCTTAAATCAATGGCAATGAAACCGTTGCTTTAACCAATCAGATTTCGAGTTGGCAACACCAGGGCCATCTAGCTGGCTAACGATAACGTCAGCATTTTCTCGTCCTTTGATTGGATGGTCAGCATACTAGCTAGCAAACATCATCACTGTAAATCATTTTATTAAAACTTAGTAAAACTTTTATTACTGTTTCTCAGGTTTAGATTTTCAGTGCATTTGTGAAAATGTATTGGTTATACTACAATCACAATAAAAGGGCAGCTGTTTCTTCAACAAGACCACAAAATGAGGAAATTTCGTAAACATCAACATTTTTACAGAGAGATCAATTAAGCCGGTCGCTCGTATCTTTTAAAGGGTCATGAAATCCCAAAACACATTTTTTTCAGATGTGAACAGATATGTACTGGCTGCACATCACTGAAAAGCCTAAAAGCACTCAGAAATGTTATCAATAAGTGGAAATTGGTTATTTTTGCGTTTTTCCGAGCAATTTCGTTCTTCCGGTTTGAAAAGCAAAGTGGAAGCTACATCACAAAATCTGACGTAGATTTGGGCCTCGGAGTGTGTAGATAGGCTTCCAGGGGCGAATTTACGTCAGATGGCCCTGAGCTAATCTGTGCATTTATTCATGAGAAAGAGGTCGTTCAATCCAATCACTGCACCATAGTACGTATAAATTATAACGGTTACAATATACCATGAATATTATTCATGAGAAAGTATTGCTTCTGTCTTCCTTCATTGTTGTCATTCAGAGACGTGGTTCAGCGTTGAATGTGCTCGTTTCTTCGGTGCAACAACACAAAAGTGTTGTTTGCTTTTCCCTGCGATGCGACGAGAGCTGAACTTTGGGTGCAGACGGTTGGTTTGCTGTGTTCTACCAACACAACTGGAAAATATGTTTGTAACAAACATTTTGCACCAGAGAATTTTGTGATTTGGGGACTAGTGGAATCCGGTTTTGCCGATCATCTTGTTTTAAAGAAAGAAGCTGTACCAATTCCTGTATCCACAGATTTGGTAAGTGTTTGCTTAAATATTATTTATACAGGTGCATCTCAATAAATTAGATGTACAATTAAAAGAACCAAAGACTTAAACTACTTCAGTCTGTGTGCATTGAATTTATTTAATACACGAGTTTCACAATTTGAGTTGCATTACTGAAATAAATGAACTTTTCCACGACATTCTAATTTATTGAGATGCACCTGTATTTGCGTAGGCTATTCAGATGGTTATGTTAGATTTTATCGGAGCAGACATAGTCAGTGTTAACAAGTTACTTTTTCCTTCTCCTTGACCCTCGAGAATGACCAGTCCTTTGTACTTCTGAGCCTGGTGAAGATCCAGCAGAGTTGCGCAAGTCTACCTTTTGTGGAGTAACTACCTCACCAACCACCTGTAGCCACCCTGATAGATGGAATTACCCCACTTGGATAGACCTGCTGGATGTCACTGCCCGAGACCTACAATGTGACCCAGATTCTGGCATAGTTCCAGAAGCCACAGATTATTGTCGTGCTGAAGTCCATGTCCTTAAATGCGTCCAACAGGAATCCTTTCCTGAAGATTACCACCTGTTACAATCTGGAAAGTCA